AGCCTGCTTCGGATTCTGCGTCTCCCTCTCTCTCTGCTCCTCTCTCCCTCTCAAAAATAAACATAAAAATTTTTTTTTAATAAAATAAAAAATAAAGATCTCCTCCAACCACCAGAGAGCGTAGGATGAAGTCCCTTGGCATCCGGGCCCCAGAGACCTACCAGCTCACCGGTCCTTAGCACACAGCCCAATACCGAGAGGCCCCTCACTTTCCAGGGATCAGGACACCCACACACACACACTTTCTAGGGATCAAGACAAGACCCCTCACTTGGCCAAGAAGGTCTGACTGGGCTCCAGATGCACACGGTGTCATCTTACAACACACACACACACACACACACACGCACGCACACACATACGCACACACATGCACACACGCACAGACACACACACACCTGGACCCTGGACTGCTGCTGTGCGGACATCTTGCTCATGACTTAGAGCCCCCAGGGAAGCCCCCTCACACCTCCCCACCCAAGGACCTCTTTGGATCTTGGGAGAGGTTGCTGGCAAGGAGAGGTCTGGGCATGGATTGAGACTCCGGTCACTTGAAGTTCTGGGTCAGAGGTGGCCTGCTCACGTCACAGCTCTAACTGCTGGGCCCATTCGTATCCAGACCTCTCCAGACAAATCTGGTCCTCCTGGAAGTGGGTGGAGGGGCAGCCCCTGATGGAGCTCTCGAACCACAGAGAACACAGCCTCCAGCTCACTGTCCCTTGTCTCTCTGAGCCTTGGCTTCCCCGTGTGGCACAGAGGGGTTCTGGGGCCCTGCCTCCTTACTGTAAGCCCCCCTGGAAAGCTCAGCCGTGTTTCCCAGCCCTCCAGCTGAGTCTCGGCAGGGAAGCGGTGAAGACTTCTGAGAATTCTGGGGAGGGGGGATCGGGAATGTGCCCCACGGGCTGTAGGTGTGCTGATAGCTGTGACATAAGCCTTTGAGACCTGCACCTGCCACCTGGCCCGAGGGAAATGACAGGAATTAGCAACTTGTGACCCAACTGTTCAAGTCCCAGGATGCACAGCCCCTCCCCAGACGGTCAGGCAGGGTCCTGCAGGGAAGGGAGGGGCTCCAGGCTGAGGTAAGGCCCGCCCTCTCTAAGGAGCCCTGAGATCTCCGCTCAGCTCCTAGACGAGACGGGTCCAAGCACTGGCCGTTGCCGGACACCAGGTAAAGGTGCTCCAAGTACAGAATGAGGCAGCTCCTTCGTCCACTGCTCATCTCAAAGACCTGAGGGGTCCCGTCTGTGGCAGCGCAGGGTCACCCCGTTTCCGCTAAGCGGCCCAGGCAAATACAATGAACACCCACAAACTCAGTCGGCCTGTGCCATGCATCAGCTGGTCCTTCCGGAAGCAAGGGCAGAGAAACTTCTGGAAGCAGTTTATTGGGGGGGAGGGGTGAAGGTGGGCTGGGCAGGAGGAGCTCTGTGCAGAAAATGTCCACTGGAGGGGCCCGAGTGGGAGAAGAAGGATCTTCCGTGGTTACCAGCCACAGCAGCACAAAAATCAAAGGGCCTAGATTACATCATGCCCACGGGATGGTGGCTTATGAGCAAGCCCCCTCAAAAGGCACGAGTGACATCAGCAAAATGTCAGTGCCTGCGTCTGCTTTCTCGTTCCAGCCCCTCCGGAAGCCCCCACCCCCCACCCCTAGCCACAGGCTGCGTGGATGAGTAGAGTTTCTGTAACTGGGCAGTGCGGCGAGAGATGATCTTTATCTGCTCGTCTGCGTTTTCCAATCCTTTATGAGCAGCTCGCCACATTTCTGCACAATCACCTGTTCCAACCGACACGGTGACCCCTGTTCCTGTCAGCAGAGGGTCCTTTAAGGAGCCAGGCAGTAACCAGAAGGGGGTGGGTGGTGGTGGTGTGGAGATGGGAATCTCAAAGCCACTCGTACTGTACCCACAGCGGGCCCGGATGGGGAGCCAGGCGGGGGCGTGGAGGAGGGGCCGTGTGGGAGAAGGAAGCTGGGGACACACCAGTCGCCGTGCTGAGCGTGTGCCTTTGGGGCTTGTGGGAGGTACCAGCTCAACACCCAGGCTCGGGGGTCAGGCAGGGCCTGGGGTAGATGGAGGCTGGGGTTTTTCAGCAGACGGGCAGGGGGTGAGGGGTCGGAGAGTTGTGCTCAGGGTCAGTGTGGCAGCAAAGAGAAGCTGAGTCTGTCCACCTTCCCATCTGATGGCAGAGCTGGGGCAGCCAGGCAAGCGAAGGGCGTTCTGGGCGTGCGAGGGGGGGAAGAGCGGGGAGGTGTGGAGAGGAAGCCCTGGGCCCCAAGGATCCGGCCCCTCCACCAGCCCCACAGCACTTTTCCATAGCCTCCATGCTGTCCTGGGGACCCCTGATCCCCAAATCAATGGTGTGGATTTGCTGTCTGTTGGAGGGCACGGTTTACATTGGTTTGTTCCCTGCTGAGTCCCACGCCTGTGGGGACTCGGTGCTGATGAACAAGGGACGGCCCTGTCTCCCCTTGGCGGTGTTCGGGCCAGGGCGGGAGCACTGGGAGATTTGAAGACAGGCTGAACGGGCCTTTGGGGTGACCTTGGGGAGAAAGATGGCCCAGGAAACAAGGAGGGCTGGTGGCCAGAGCTGAGGCTCTGCCAAAACCAGGGCTCGGAGTCACCTGCTGGCTGCGGGACGCCCCGCAGCCATGAAGGACATTCGCTCTGTGGCCTGGCGCCCCAGCGGGAGGGCCCCATGGTCCTGGAAGGCACGCTGAGGTCAGTGGGACTGTGCCGTCGATGGGCATTTGGACAGCCGGCCACCGCGCAGTCCGCCCCTCCAGAAGCCTCTCGTTCCCCAAAGTGCTGCTGCGGGGACCCACTCGCAGGTCTGGCAGGGCAGGGGGTTTTAGAGGCCTCGAGAAAGAGCTCTCTCCTTCAGGGGAACACATAAACCCGAAGGGTCGCTCTCAAAAGTCCCCTTGGGGACCAGGGCCTCAGGCCTCCTCCTTGCTCCCATTAGCACTGGGGGGGCCTCGGGCCCACTCACCCAGGTTTAGGGTCTGGGGGGAGCAGCTCCTGAATTCCCCTCACAAGCTGCTGGGTTGTCCAAACCCCACCCCCAGGACGCTCATTTAGGCCTCCACATCCCACCACAGGTGCTGGGACGTGCCCAGAGAAGGATGAGGGCAGGGGTCCTGGGGTCTCTGCGCAGTCGGCTTGAGCCCCGTCTCCAGCCAGAGGTGGGCACAGCCCCAGCCCCCGCCC